GAGGCAGTTGTATGGGGTAGTGATCACCAGTCCTCAAACGAGATGGCGTGTGTTGGTGATTTCGTGGGCGCTGGTCTATTGCAGGTGTTGCTCCTTGGTATTTGGCAATTATTTGTCTTATGACTAACAAACAAAATTCACCATATTTTGGTTTGTTGTTGGTCCTCAGCTTGTAATGTTATAAGCATTTAGCATGGAAATATCAAGATGGAAAAAAAGTTTTATATACCACTTATAACTCTTTTGTACACAATCAGCAAACCCAATCTGCATGTCATATTTGGCCACTAAGTGCATATTGAGGTTGTAGTCCATGACAGCTGCAGGTTTTAGAATGGGTTCATTGGTCTCTCTATTGTGCCTGCCAGTATGTGCCATTTCGTTTCGGTGAACTGATGTCAACAATGTGACATCACGTTTGTCATGCCACCGAAATGCCATGATGTCATGGCAGCAGAGGCTTGCAAATCACCTCTGCGAGTGCCATCATTGAACCTTGGCATATGTTTACGATTACCACGCACTGTGCCACACATGTCTGTCAGCTTCACTCGCAGAAATCACTGAGTATGGGGCTTGTGTACCAGTTATCAGTAAATAATATAGTATGCCCCTTACCAAGATATGGTTCCATCATTGTTCGAACCACATCACCAGAGATACCCAATAACTTCCTAGTATCTCTCAATGTATTACTGCCAGTGTGCACAATGATATCCAAAACGAGACCACTTTTGCAATCACACATTACAAATAACTTTGTACCAAAGCTTTTCCTCTTGCTTGGTATGTATTGCTTGGTTGAGAGTCTTCCTTTGAATAAAATCAAAGACTCGTCAATAACAAGCTTCCTGAAGGGATAAAAATACATGCAACACTTCTGTTTCAGGTACATAAAACACATTTCTGATCTTATATAACCTGTCGCTTCTGTCAGGCCTTGTTTTGTCAGAAAAGTGTAACATATGTAACAGTATCAAAGAAACGATTCACACCTATAACGTCACTAAAACCTGGGTTGAAATTAGGCATTCTGTTGCCCAGTATGTGGTGACAGTGTGCTTATACACATGTGGCATAAGCATTATTGTGGCAAAAACAGGTACATCTCTGCCACAGTTGTGTCCTTCCACTGGTGTAGCCGTGATCTTTGTGAGAGAATTGTATTTGCCATGGTGTACTCATAGTATGCGTTGGTTTCCCTGACAATAATGTCCATCAGGGTTTCATCGAAGAATAACTGAAAGCATTCCAGTTCAATAGCATTGTTCCCAAGTGTACACGATGGCCGTATTCCACTTCGTGTTTCATCAAAGTCATGGGGACTGGGAACAAACTCGTCACCTTCCTGCCAGTCCCAGATGTGGTCTGCTGGTGGGTTCTGGATATTGAAACGTGGTTGTGCAGGTTGTGATTGTGCAGGTTGTGGGAGTGTGGAGTTGGGTGAGGCTGGTTGTGCAGAGTCAGCAGTGTGGGTAGTAGCGTGGCCCGCTGCCGGTGCCACATGACTCATGTCACCATCACTACACCACCACCATCACAACCACCACCACCACCACCTGCTGCCTCACTCACATCATTCATACCCATCGTAACAATATCGTCATCTTCACCATCAGGTCGTGGTGTAGGGCCACAGATGTGCTCCGAGATTTATTTCTTCCCCTTGGAACAGCATGTGAAACACTACCAGACTGCATGCTACGTCGTATATTTCTGTCGCTTCACTGGGGAATATTCAGCCTCGCTGTCACAACTATAACTGCTTTCAATAACTTAGAAATCACTATTACTTTCACTGCTCACATCTGAGTCTTGTACACAGGCAAAATAGTTTCCTCTTTCGTCCTGTACAGGTGAACGTGAACGATCCAGCCCAGCACCAGAGGTGGAAGGTCGTGGGTCATCTGGGTTTTCATCACTAACTACATTATCCTGGGCACTTTTTTTTGGTCACACCCACTTGAAAACCATGGAATTCACTTTCGCTGACACTTTCATCGCTGTTAGAGCTATCGCTTGGGAACAAAAGACCTCCAATCTGCCGAGGAGTGAGGAACTTACTGCGAGGCATGGTGAAAATGGACTACCAAGATGGCGTTCCCACAATGCACCACTGAGTCCCAGTTTTTTTTCACAGGGTGCACACCCACCACTGAGACCCATTCTCTCTCATGTAGGCCTACCAGCTTTCTCCTGCTTGATTTGAAGCCGCTAGAATTTATGCATATAAATACGTCAGAAACAGTGGCGCGTAAGACGTATATATACGACGTAAACAGTCAAAGGGCTAAGAACAAGTTCAGGATCGGGGGTCTCGACCCTGAAAGGGTTAAGGAACATAACAAGACAAAGATCATGACAGCCAGGAAGGTGACAGGGTGGATAATGAGAACTTTCAAAATGAAGGAAACATGCCAATGGTGATACTCTTCAAATTGCTAGTGCTCCCTCATTTAGAATGTTGAGAGATCATTTACAGTTCTCATTGAGCCAGTAAAGCATCTAAATTACTGGGAACACCTTCAAGTCTTGAACATGTACTCATTGGAGCGGAGGAGAGAGAGATACATGATAATATACGCCTGGAAAGTACTCGAGGGCCTGGTCCCAAATCTGCACACTGCCATAAAAACATACTGGAGTTAGAGATATGGGAGGAAGTGTAAAATAAACCCAATGAGGAGCAGGGGTGTGGTGGGGACAATAAGGAAACGCTGTATCAACATCCGGGGTCCCAGACTATTCAGCATTTTACCAGAAGATATCAGAAACACGGCTGGAACAATTTAGAATCTTTCAAGAGGAAACTGGACAAGTATCTTCAACAGGTGCCAGATCAACCAGGCTGTGATGGATATGTGGGGCACCAGGCCTTCAGCAGCAACAGCCTGGTTGATCAGGCAAGCACTGGACGAGCCTGCCCCATGGCCGGGCTCCGAGAGTAGTTAAACTCTCGAAACTCTTCAAAGGTATATCAAAAGGTATCTTTGTTAACTACCAGGAGAAAATCCCTGTAACAAGGGTACAGTGAGGCTGGTAAAATGCTCTTAATCCAAAGAATTAGAGCCATCCTCCCTTTCCTTGGATTGAACTTGATTGCCTCCCATTCTGCCAAGTACATGTACTCAGTGATTCCAACAAGCTTAGCACTCCCACAAATGTAATAACAGGTGAAAATGCCTTGAGGAGGTTATTATCTGGGTTTTAGACATCATTGTTCTATAAAACTGTGGTGCCTTCATCACTTCAAATATGCTTGCCTGTACTATTTTAAAACATTCTGTGGAATCATACCCATGCAGATAAAGGTGACTATTGCCTTAAAGCAAATCATAGCCTTTTTTTTTTTTTTTTTTTTTTTAGCTTGCCAGTTCATATAAAAACTTAAAAATATGTTTACACTATCATTATTAAGTGTGCAATAGCACTAGGCCAAAAAGAGATTCAAAATTAAAAAATAAATAAAAAAAATTGGCATAGTTAATTTGCTCATCACTGCCAAAAATAATAAATACGAATATACAGTGGACCCTCGGCTAATGCCTTTAATCCATTCCAGATAGCTTAGCCTTTAACCAATTTAGCCTTAATCGAATTAATTTTCCCCATAAGAAATAATGGAAATCCAGTTAATCCGTTCCAGACACCCAAAAGTATTAAACAAAATAATTTTTTTACATGAAATATACATTTTCCTACACAGAAAACTATGATACATGAAGAATAAAACAATAATAACTTCACACTTACTTTTAATGTGGCTTGTTGATGACTGATGAGATGGGAGGAGGGCAGAGGATGAAGGTGTTCTAGTGTTTGGAAGGGGAATCCCCTTCCATAAAGACTTAAGGTAACAAGTCCTTTTCTGGCTTGTGTCCTGGGAGTGCCTTTTCCTCCTGAGTAATGTAGGTCCTGTTTGGCATTTTCTTCCTAAACAGGCCTGTTTCATCACATTTGAACACTTGTTGGGGTTTTAATTTTTCAGCCTCTATGTACCCCTTAAAGTCCTGCACATATTTTTCAGCCGTTTTTTTGTCAGAACTGGCAGCCTCACCATGCCTTATTATACCATACCACCATCACAACCGCTACCACCCTCTACCACCATTGCTACCACCCACTACCACCACTCTCTACCACCACCCTCTACCACCACCACTTCAACCCTCTACCACCACCACTTCAACCCTCTACCACCATCACTACCACCCTCTACCACCATCACAACCACCACCACTTTCGTATTTTTCTACAAACCTTTTCTTAAATTATATGCGTTTCTCACATTCTTTACCATAAGGCTGGCACTAGAAGCTTTCTTGGGGCCCATGGTGGCTTATTTAGCAGTTACAAGCACCAAAAACAATGGAATAATACAAAATACATCTCGTGTACACGCGGAATTGTCCTCACTGGCTTTGTAAACAATGGCACACTGGCTGGTACACGGAGTGAGTGGCTGGGCCTGCTCATGGTGCCGTGCCAACATGTTTGGGATGAAAGCTCTTAACCAAGTTTTTTGGTGTTAACCAAGCCAATTTTTTTACGGCAGAGCGAGGTGTTAGCCGAATTTGGCATTAGCTGATGCAGGCATTAGCCGTATTAGCGAAGCGCCGTAAAATAAAGCACCATATTAGCGAAGTATGCCTATACTTAGACCCCCCGACTCCATAACATCCCGTTTCTCACTCTACACCCCCACTGCTCACTCAGTATTTTGGATATTGCCTTCACTTCTATCATTTGACCTAACCTTCCTAGCACCTGACTGTTGGCTTTCATAAGGAAGGAGTGCCAGGCACTCTCCCTAACTCATTAAACCCCACACAGGTGAAATATTTTAATAAAGGCTTGCTCTGTCTGTGTGTCTGATTTACTATGTGTTGCCTTTCTACCTTTTAATACAGACTGGTGGAAATGGTTAATATTTAATATTCAACAAATTGTCTGTGGTACCATATTTTTAGGTTAATGCTCTGCATATTTTTAACTTGCAGTGTGGAAATCAAGTGCCGTTTGTGAGTACATCACTGAGTACAGTTAGTGGAGCCCGGGTACAGGGACTTGCATGGAACCCTCTTGACCCTTGTGGTGTTGCTATAGCAGCATCACCAGGCACACTTTCAATCATCTCACTTAAGGAGAATGAAGTAGATGTTAAATCCAAGGAAATTCAAGCTCGGTAAGTAATACATGATATTTTTGTATACAGCAGATAAAAAAAAATAGTCTGGATTACATAATGCTGCACAAATGTATTTGGAAGTGGGTCTAACAAAATATTTACAAACATTCCAAGTTTAGATCCCATTCATATTTGATACTGAGACACCTAACTACCTTATGTACTAAAGTTTTCAAACTGCTAATGTAGAAGTGAAAGTTGTATACTGTATTATATTTTTCAATTCTTTATTATATTTTCCTTAAATATTATTTTAATTGTAAGTACAGTATTTTGTTTACATCTTTATGACCTTAAACTTCAGAATTGAAAAGTTTTTTTAATAAAGTTCCTATTAAGACAAAGATACTAGCTATGATGTCTTTTTAACATGTGATGAACACTTGTCATAGTTGAGAGAAAACCCACATGTTGGCAGTAAAGCATAGACATTGGGTGTATATTTTGAGTGCATCTAAGATCCTGAAGGGGATCTCAATTGGAGGTGGACATACTTTATACAGCCACTCTTTAATGTGCTTTACTTGTAACATGTGGACACTCTACACACTAGCCATGTACAGTATATCAAACTTTGATCCTGGTAATTGTATTTAATTTTTTTCAGTGCCGTAGGATGGTCTCCAAAGGGAAAGCAATTAACAGTAGGTTTAGCTGATGGTACTTTGGAGTTATTTAAACCTGATCTGACTCCAGTACGCACTGTATCAAAGCCACCCATGGATGACATTGGCTCAGTTCTCAGCATTACTTGGTTTACCAACACAGAATTTTTCATTGGCTATAAGATAGAATCTGAGGAAGGTGGACATGGTATGTAAACATGTTTCAAACAGATACATTGTTAATAGAGTGGAATATAGGTGTATTTATTCTATAACTAGTAGATACTCAACCATTTTGGGGTGGGTCCCATTGTACTACGTTTTTTGAAGTGCGGGTCGGTTTCATAGTACTATGCTGTGAGTTCAGCTCACTTGGATAAGCTGCGAGTGATAAATTTGGGTCTAGATATGGGAGGATAGGTCTGTGTGGTAAGTGTGCACCATATAAAAAAAAATCCTGCAGCAAGCAGTGCATAATGGGGAAAAAACCGTGACTGTGTTTTTGGTTTGTATGGTTGTATTCTCAGTTTCTTGGTCTCATTTGATAGAATAGAAGATTTATTACAGAAATTGGGATGATTTCGATTGGTTTGGGGACTGAAAGTAGCTTGAAATTGAGCTCTAAGTAGTGGATTTTTTTTTATTTTTGCCAATATTCCAGTACGTGTCCAGCTGGTCGGTCTGATACATGTCCACAAATGTGCTGACATTATTTATACAATTATTACAATAATGCAGTAGTGTGCATAACAGTAAATCTTCTATTTTTTTGTGTGTGAATAAAAATTCAAAATGGAAAGCCAGTGTAATATAGGAGAGGCCTGGAAATGTAAATAATGAATAGAGGAAATATTTTTTAGTGCCAAGAATGTGTACATTATTTGTTCTAGTCCCTATTTTTAAATTGGCAGTTTTGAATTTTGTGGTAAATTGGCCAAATTACTGATTTCTGATCACTTTATTTGATAGTTGAATTAGGTAAATGGGCAGTTTCTTGTAATCATCCAATAGAATAGAAAGAATATTAGAAAAATAGCTATGAGTTTGGTCAACTAGAGCACTGGAATTGGCTGAAAGTGGGTGAAATCGCCCATGCATAAATATCACCAAGACCATTAACTTTGCGAGAGAGTAATTCCGTAAGTTTAACATCAAATTTCGTACTTTTGCTTTCATTACCTTCAGAAAAAGATTTTCTTATCATTTCAGAAGTTTTTTTTTTTTTTTTTTTTTTTTTAAATTCTTCATCCCTAAAAGCCATTCTTAGGTCAGGGGGTTTTGACCCAGAAAGGGTTAAGTGGCAGAGTGACAGGTAAATCTAGATGAATTTTGAAAATTGTTGAATTGCTGTAAATCTAGTCTTTAAATAAATATTTTTATTATATTTCTGTAATCCATAAGGCTTGTTCCTTCTGAAAACTTTTCTTGAAGGGGATTGTCTTTTATAGAATTTTATCCAGAAACTACCATCTTAGTGGTTATTTAATATTTTTTGACCTGTCATGGCCATTATATAAGTGATGAAGTTGCCACTTGCTTACAGAAAGAACAAAAACCCAAGAAAACAATAGGAAATGATTTAAGATATGGCAAAATGAAAGAATAAAGGGTTGGGAAAGGTATTTATTAAAATAAAACAAAATGAGGAAACGTAGTAGACTGTAGGAAAAACTTCATATGTGGAGGAGTGACTCCTCTCTTATGCTAATAAGACACAATATGTAGTTTATGGCATTTTATTGAGACTTTTGTCATCCAGGGACTTTATCAGTTGAGGGAATATGGAGGAAGAATGTGTGTTCAGATATTTGGGAGTTAACTTGTCAGCAAATGGATCTGTGAAGGACAAGGGGAGCCATAAAATTGAAAAGGTAAAAAAGGTGAGTGGTGCACTGAGGAGTCTGTGGAGACAAAGGATGTTATCCTTGGAAGCAAAAAGGGAAGTGGTACGAATGCTCTTTTATGGGTGTGAAGCATAGGTTGTGAATTTTACAACAAGGAGAAGGCTGGAGGAGGTGGAGAGATGTGTTTGAGGGCAACGTGTAGCGTGAATATTATGCAGATAATTCATAGTTTCGAGATCAGAGGTAGGAGCATGGTTACTAAAAGTATTATCCAGAGGGCTGAAGATGGGTTGTTGGGGTGGTTCACACATTTTAAGAGGATGGAACAAAATAGGATGACTTGGAGGGTGTATAAACATGTAGTGGAGAGAAGGCGGGGCAGGGGTCATCCTAGCAAAGGTTGGTGGGAGGGGGTAAAGCAGGTTTTGTGTGCGAGGTGCACACAAAACCTGCTTGTAAATGTGGATGTACATGTAATTTGGGCTACATTATTTATATCCTGGTGACTTCCTGTGTCCTAGGTAGTAGGTTGGTAGACAGCAACTGCCCAGGGAGGTACTACTGTCCTGCCAAGTGAGTGTAAAACGGAAACCTGTAATTGTTTTACATGATGGTAGGATTGCTGGTGTCTTTTTTCTGTCTCATAAATGTGCAAGATTTCAGGTACATCTTGCTACTTCTACTTATACTTGGGTCATGCTACACATACATGTACAAGCATATATATACATACATACCCCTCTGGATTTTCTTCTATTTTCTTTCTAGTTCTTGTTCTTGTTTATTTCTTATCTCCATGGGGAAGTGGAACAGAATTCTTCCTCTGTAAGCCATGCGTGTCATAAGAGGTGACTAAAATGTCGGGAGCAAGGGGCTAGTAACCCCTTCTCCTGTCTGTATTACTAAATTTGAAAGGAGAAACTTTCGTTTTTCCTTTTGGGCCACCCCACCTCGGTGGGATACGGCTGGTACGTTGAAAGAAGACAACGACTTCCTGTGTAAAGGCAAATGATACTAAAAAATAATCCTAATTAACATGAGAACGAAATAATATCATAAATATTAAGAAAACAAAAATACTGTACTACATTTAGTTAATGTGATGCCATTTGTGGTGGGGTAAACAGTACAGCGGACCCCCGGCATACGATATTAATCCGCTCCAGAGAGCTCATCATATGCCGAAATTATTGTAAGGCGAATTAACTTTCCCCATAAGAAATAATGGAAATCAATTTAATCCATGCAAGACACCACAAAGTATGAAAAAAAAAATTTTTTTACCACATGAAATATTAATTTTAATACACACAAACTGACACTTACCTTTATTGAAGATCTGGTGATGATTGATGGGATGGGAGGAGGGGAGAGTGTGGAAGTTGTTAATGTTTAGAAGGGGAATCCCCTTCCATTAGAACTTTAGGTAGCACGTCTTTTCTGGGGTTACTTCCCTTCTTTTAATGCCACTAGGACCAGCTGACCGTGGTGCAGTAACAGCTGACTGTGGTGCAGCAACAGCTGACTTTGGTGCAGCAGCTGCTGACCATGGTGCAGCAACAGATGACGGTGGTGTAGCAGCAGCTGACCGTGGTGCAGCAACAGCTGACTTTGGTGCAGCAGCTGCTGACCATGGTGATGCAACAGATGACGGTGGTGTAGCAGCAGCTGACTTTGGTGCAGCAGCAGCTGACCGTGGTGCAACAGCAGCTCACCGTGGTTCAGCAACAGCTGACTGGTGCAGCAACAGCTGACCGTGGTGCAGCAACAGATGGCGGTGGTGTAGCAGCAGCTGACTGTGGTGCAGCAGCAGCTGAACATGGTGCAACAGCAGCTCACCGTGGTTCAGCAACAGCTGACTGGTGCAGCAACAGTTGACCGTGGTGCAGCAACAGATGACGGTGGTGTAGCAGCAGCTGACCGTGGTACAATAGTACATATTTCCCACCCTTTTTTACAGATGATCGCTTAAGAGATGGTATCTCCTTCTATCTGTTTTTCGTTTATCCACACCAATAACAGTCTCTCAACATCTTCGAGTGCTTGCGATCTTTGTTTCGAAAACAAACTTGCACCTTTTGCAAGAACAGCTTCCTTGACTGCCGTTTTGTTGGCCACAATATTAGCGATGGTTGATTGGGGTTTGGTATACAATCTGGCCAGCTCTGAGACATGCACTCCACTTTCATACTTATCAATTATCTCTTTCTTCATTTCCATAGTAATTTTCACCTTTTTTACTGCACGGTTGGCACTAGAAGCTTTCTTGGGGCCCATGGTGACTTATTTTGCAGGTACAATCACTAAAAATGCTGTGATAATATGAAATGTGCTGATTGTATGCGTGGATGCGACCGCACTGGCTGGCTTGTAAACACTGGCACGCATGGGGCAGCTGAGGACACACGTGGGACGTATCCTGGACGAATCATGTGTGGCGGGTTTTTTAACGTGTGGCGAGGCAAAATTTTTACATTAAAATGTGTCGTATGCCGGATTTAACATATGCCAATGCCATCGTATGCCGGGGTCCACTGTATTATTATGTTGTAATTTATGATTTTGTAATGGTAGTTATGGCATTGACTTTACAAGGTAATATTGTAATATTCAGGAACAGTTCAATACTTTAGTGATTTATTTCCAACAATAAATGTAGCAGAATAATCTCTCAAAAGAGGATTAAATGTTAAAATTTTCTGTTATTCATGAGACTACTAAAGCAGATTATATCTTTTTATATTAGTCTTATTTTGTGTGCTATATCACATGGGCAACTATTTTTTTTTTACTTTTAAATCTTTTAATAATCATTAATAATTTGTTTGTATAATAAATGTGGCTATAAATGCATGAGTGAGATTTATTTGTAACTGATTTCAGTTATGATGTATGTCAATGCCCCGAAAGCAAAGGAGTCAAGATTTGTCACCTACGACTATTTATGCAATTACAACCAAGGTCCACGACCAGCCATGTTTTATCCCACTTTCTTCGCAGAATGGTAATTAATTTGTTAACTAACTTATATATGCAGTATTTGTATTTTTTTTACTACATAAGCCATTGCCTATCACAGTACGGTAACCCCAATGAAGGAAATGCATTCACCATTGTTCATTTAACCCTTCATTCTCAGAAGGCCCAAAATTAAAATTGCTCTCAGTGTCACCAGTTTTCAAAAGTGCATTTTGCTGTTTCAGATACATAGCAACATCCCTAATCTTGCATAATATGCCATATCTTGTCATGGGCCATGTCTTGTCTGAGAAGTGTAGCATATGTAGCAGCTGGATAAATCTGTTGACTGGGATGAGATTACTGAAGACCAGGTGCAAATTAGGAAGATGGTGGACCAGTATGATTAAGTATTGTGCTTATACTTGTGTGGTATAAGCATTATTGTGGCAAAGAAGAGCTACACCTCACTCACAGTTGCGTCCTTCCACCGGTGTATTTGTGATTGTGGTGAAAGCAATGTATTTGCCATGTGTTCTGGTAGCATCTGTTGGTTTCTCAGTATAATTTTCATTAGGGGGTTTGTTGAAATATAGCTTAAAAAAAGTTCACTGGTATTGTTCTCATGGGAAACAGTTATTCATGATTCCACTATGTGTCAGTAACTGATGTGGATTGGGAACAAGATTTGCATCTTTCTGCCAAGTCCCAGATACAATCTAGTTGGGGTTGCTGGATATTAGCAGGGTATTTGTACAGGTGGTGATTGTGTGCAAGTAGTGGAGGTGGCTGTGGATTGTTGCAGTGTTGAGTGTGGGCCATGCCTCCCAGCCTGAGCTTGCTTTGATGCTGCTTGTCTCATTGGTCCACCACCTACTATCACATGAGGATGTGGCAATGCCTGTGGCCTCTTGCCCATCACAGTCAATGCATTATCATTGTCACTGACTATCTCTCACCTGTGTTGGGTCCTGGGATGTACTTTGTCCCCTGGGGATAGCAATGGGCACACCACCAGACCACCTGAAGCTACATATAAATTGATGCTTTCAGTGAAGAATTTTTATCACTATCACTACTAGAGTGGTCATCAGCTGCTAGGAAATCCAAAGTCCATGTCACTATCATCACTATTACTCACATCTGAGCCCAGGTCACAGGAGAATATGAGCTATAATTTACAGCATGTTAGAGGTGGACATGTTCCAGACGAACCAACCCTAGATGTGGATGGTTGTGAATCATCAGTGTTTTCAGCAATATTTCCAGCATTCTAAGCATCACTTTCAGTCGCTACATGTTTGAAACAAAGGAGCTCATCGTCAGTTTTATAATCCTCGCTGTTGTAGTTGTCACTGGGGAACATGGTGTTTCCACAGTGTACTGCACACATTGACCATGCAGACTTATTCTCTCATATGTAGGCCTATTTCAGTAATGCATATCTGTACAGCAAACAGAGAAAATGGTTTAATGAATGTACTGTTGAATTGTGAGTATGGTAACAAAGAATTCAGGGAAACTGATTAGTTGGCTTTGAGTCTGCACTGTAGAGGAGGGGTGAGGATGTTGCAGTCAGAAGGTAGTCTGAGTTGTGATGTCAGCACTGGCATGACAGTGATGGGAGATTTTAAAGAAAAGTTGCAAAGGTTAGTGGACGAGTTTGGGAGGGTGTGTAAAGGTAGAAAGTTGAAAGTGAACATAGATAAGAGTAAGGTGATGAGGGTATCAAATGATTTAGACAAAGAAAAATTGGATATCACTTTGGAGAGAGGGAGTATGGAAGAAGTGAATTTGTTCAGATATTTGGGAGTTGACTTGGCAGCGGATTGGTTTATGAAGGATGAGGTTAACCATAGAATTGGTGAAGGAAAAAAGGTGAGTGTTGCATTGAGGTATCTGTGGAGACAAAAAAAATGTTATCTATAGAGGTTAAGAAGGGAATGTATGAAAATAGAGTGGTACCAACACACTTATATGGATGTGAAGCTTGGGTTGTAAATGCAGCAGCGAGGAGGCGGCTGGAGGCAGTGGAGATGTCCTGTCTAAGGGCAATGTGTAGAGTAAATATTATGCAGAGAATTCAGAGTGTGAAAATTAGGATGAGGTGTGGAGTTACTAAAAGTATTAGTCAGGGCTGAAGAGGGGTTGTTGAAGTGGTTTGGTCATTTAGAGAGAATGGATCAAAGTAGAATGACTTGGAGAGTGTATAAATCTGTAGGGGAAGGAAGGAGGAGTAGGGGTTGTCCTCAAAAAGGTTGGGGGTAGGGGGTAAAGGAGTTTTTGTGGGCAAGGGCCTTGGACTTCCAGCAATGTGTGTGTGTGTGTGTGTGTGTGTTAGAAACGAATGAATGGAGACAAATGGTTTTTGGGACCTGACAAGCTGTTGTAGTGGGAGCAGGGTAATATTTAGGGAAACCAGTTAGCCAGACTTGAGTCCTGGAAATGGGAAGTACAGTGCTTGCACTTTAAAGGAGGAGTTTGGGATATTGACAGTTTGGAGGAACTTCTAAACTGTCGTATCTGAGTGCCTCTGCGAAGACAGTGATTATGTATGAGTGAGGTGAAAGTGTTGATTGATGATGAAAGTATTTTCTTTTTGAGGATTTTCTTTATTTTTGAGTCACCCTGCCTTGGTGGGAGATGGCCAGCTTGTTAAAAAAGAAAAAAAGAATTTATTTCCTTCTCTGAGTTACCCTGCTGCCTTGGTGAGACATGGCTGTTGAGTTAAATAATTTATGTAGTGGAGCCACTGATTCTGTACATGCTTGAGTATTATTGCAACATCTTGTTATTCATTCAGTGTTTTTATTTAATATAATTTTCTACAACAATTACTGAGTTCATGTTTGCAGGAATCTCTTGTGTCTGTTATCATCACGTGCCAACCAACTTGGAGTGTTGGGTCAATCTGAAAGTGGGGGTAACATGTGGTGTGAATACGAGATGGAAGAAGGTGCTGCAGCAGTAGTTCAGAACATCTCTGTAACAGAAGAAACCTTTCCGTTAGGCATGGCAGTGGACTTCACTTCAGAGAGGACTTTTACTGCTAAAGGTGAGGTACTACTATATTAGGTACATTAGAACCCCCATATCCACTGATTCAGTATCTGTGATTTCAGTTGTCCACAGTTTAGTGTGGCCCAAAAATACCTCTTAATTTTGCATAATAATGCCCTCAAGGCACAAAAGCAAAGAAGCTGGAAGTTCTTCAAAGCCTAACAGAAGTTGTGAAGTGCTTCCTGTCAGTGAAAAAGTGATAATTCTCCACTTATTGTGCATAATTTATGAATTAAACTTTATAATAGGACTTGTATATAGGTTTTACTACTATTCACGGTTTTGCTATCAACAGCAAGTCCTTCAAACTTGTTTCCCATGGATACAGGGGTCCTACTGAACTATCTTGAGCTTTGCAAGCAAAGGGCTAGTAACCCTCCCTCCCCCTTTTTTTTTTTTAACATACCAGCAGTCTCCCACGGCTGGTATGTTAACCCTTTGACTGTCACGGTCGTATATATACGTCATGGGAGATACCGTGTTTGACGTATCTATACACATAAATTCTAGCGGCTTCAAATCAAGCGGGAGAGGGCTGGTAGGCCTACATGGGAGAGAATGGGTCTCAGTGGTCGGTGTGCACCCTGTGAAAAAAATCTGGGACTCAGCGGTGCATTGTGGGAACGCCATCTTAGTAGTCCATTTTCACCATGCCTCGCGGTAAGAAGTTCCTCACTCCTCGGCGGATTGGAGGTCTTTTGTTCCCAAGTGATAGCTCAAACAGTGATGATAGTGTCAGTGAAAGTGAATTCCCTGGTTTTGAAGCGGGTATGACCGAAAAAATTACCCAGGATAACATAATTAGTGATGAAAACCCAGATGACCCACAACCTTCCACCTCTGGTGCTGGGCTGGCTCGTTCATGTTCACCTGTACCAGGACGAAAGAGGAAACTATTTGCCTGTGTACAAGACTCAGATGTGAGCAGTGCAAGTGATAGTGATAGTGATTTCAAGGTTATTGAAAGCAGTTCTAGTTGTGACAGTGAGGGTGAATATTCCCCAGTGAAGCGGCAGTATATACGACGTCGCATGCGGTCTGGTAGTGTGCCATATGCTCTTCCAAGAGGAAGGATTACATCTTGTAGCACATCCCGTGGCCCTACACCACGTCCTGATAGTGAAGATGACGATATTGTTACGATGGGTATCAATGATGCAAGTGAGGCAGCAGGCGGTGGTGGTGATAGTGATGGTGGCATGAGTCATGTGACACAGCAGCAGGCCACGCTACTACCCGCGCTGCTGACTCTGCACAACTACAACCAGCCTCACCCGACCTCACACTCCCACAACCACAACCTGCACAACCACAACCACATTACAATATCCAGAACGCACCAGCTGACCGCATCTGGGATTGGCAGCAAGATGATGAGTTTGTTCCCAATCCCCATGACTTTGATGGAGGACAAAGTGGAATACGGCCATCATGTACACTTGGGAACAATCCCACTGAACTGGAATGCTTTCAGTTGTTCCTCGATGAACCCCTGATGGACATTATTGTCAGGGAAAGCAATACATACCATGAGTACACCATGGCAAACACTATTCTGTCGCCAAGCTCACGTCTTCACCAGTGGAAGGACACAATTGTGGCAGAGATGTATCTGTTCTTTGCCACAATAATGCTTATGCCACATGTGTATAAGCATAGTGTCAACACATACTGGGCGACAGACCGCCTGATTTCAACCCCTGCTTTCAGTGACATTATACCAGTGAATAGATTTGTGTTACTGTTACGTATGTTACACTTTTCAAACAAAACCAGGCCTGACAGAAGCGACAGGTTATATAAGATCAGACGTGTGTTTATGTACCTGAAACAAAAGTGCTGTATGTATTTTTATCCCTTCAGGAAGCTTGTTATTGACGAGTCTTTGATTTTGTTCAAAGGAAGACTCTCATTCAAGCAGTATATACCAAGTAAGAGGAAACGCTTTGGTATAAAGTTATTTGTTCTGTGTGATTGCAAAACTGGTCTGGTTTTGTATATAATTGTGTACACTGGTGGTAAAACATTGGAAGATACCAGAAAGTTACTGGGTATCTCTGGTGATGTGGTTAGAACAATGATGGAGCCATATCTTGGTAAGGGGCATATTTTATATACTGACAACTGGTACACAAGCCCTATACTCAGTGATTTCTTGCGAGTGAACATGACAGATGTGTGGCACAGTGCGTAGAAATCGTAAACATATGCCTAGGTTTGATGCTGGCAGTCGTAGAGGTGAAGTGCAGGTGTTTGCTGCCAATGACATCATGGCATTTCGGTGGCATGACAAATGTGATGTCACACTGCTGACATCAGTTCACCAACACGAAATGGTAGACACTGGCAAGCAGAATAGAGAGACCAATGAACCCATTGTAAAACCTGCAGCTGTGATGGATTACAACCTCAATATGTGCTTAGTGGACAAATGTGACATGCAGATTGGGTTTGCTGACTGTGTTCGCAAAAGTTATAAGTGGTACATAAAACTGTTTTTCCATCTTCTTGACATTTCCATGCTGAATGCTTATAATATGTATAAGTTGAAGACCAAGAAGAAACCCAAATATGGTGAATTTTGTTTGTCAGTCATCAGACAAATAATATTCAAGTACCAAGAAACAACACCTGCAATAGACCAGCGCCCACGAAATTATCAACACATGTCCTCTCATCTGAGGCCTGGTGATCACTACCCCATACCACTGCCTGCTACTACTGCCAAGAAAAATGCTCAGAAGAGGTGTTTTGTCTGTGGACATACCACAAAACGCCCACAAAAACGCAGAGACACTCGTTTTATGTGTGAGGAGTGTAAGACACCATTGTGCTTATACCCATGTTTCAAAGAATTCCACAAGCTGCAGCACTTCTAAAAAGTGTCCAGTGATTGTACATGTGTATATATATTATAAAACAATCGTAATAAACATTTGTTTACATTGTGTAAACAAGTTTTAGCAACATTATTATGATACGAGTGTTTTTGCTATAATTGTGTTACATTCAACGAATGTATATTTGAACATTGCACAATAATCTGGTCTCAAAGGCCACAAAAGTTATGTGAAAAAATAAAATAGTGAAAAAACAAGAAACTATCGAATACAAGTAAATCAAAGTTCACCGGGTGAGGGGCAGTCGCTGTTGTTGCCGCTCGCAGATCAGTTTCAGCAAACTTCAGGACTCTATATCTCGGTAAGTACTGATGGGAAAATTTTTTTTGGGGGACTAAAACAATCAGAAAAATCATCTTAACATTTTCATAAGAAAAAATAATTTTTTTTTTTTCGAATATTTTGCGACACCAGGAGACACTTCAGGATTGGGCCTTTCGACAGTCAAAGGGTTAAACAAAAAAAATATCTTGAGCTTCCTCTAGTTATATAATGTAACATCAGTGTTGCACAGTATTTAGAAAACTAGATTCATAAATATCTTCTGATAGAAATTCTCAAGGAATGATATTGGTTGTATTTATAAGATTGCGTTTAAAATGTTGAATGGGCATTTGTTGATTTTAAAATACTGCATTTAACCCTTTGAGGGTCTGTCTCCTCGTTCTACGGCTTTGAAGCCAGGGTCCAAGCCATAGTTCTACGCCATGAGCTCAGCTCACTCAGATAAGGTGAATGGTAAATTTGGGCCTAGATATGAGAGAATACATCTATATGGTAAGTGTGCACCACTTAAAACAAATCCTGCAGCATGCAGTGCATGAGAAAAAAACTGACCATAATTTTGGATTAATGACGACTTTGCAGTGTTTATTCGTACAATTTTTACAGTTGTGTTTGTGATTTCTTGGTCTCATTTGATAGAATAGAAGATATATTACAGAAGTAGAGATGATTTTGATTGGTTTTTAGTACTGAAAATGGCTTGAAACTGAGCTCAAAGTAGCAGAAATTTTCAATTTTTGCCAATGTTCAAGAGTAAACAGATAACGTTACGCATCTAATACGCGTCAGCTGGTGGGTCTACTGTATGTTCACGAATGTGCTGATATTATTTATACATTTATTACAATATTGCATAACAATAAATCTTCTATTTTTTGGTGTGAATAAAAAATCAAAATGGAATTCATTTGTAAAGCATGAAACTGTAACTAATGAACAGAGGAAATGTTAGTTTAGTGCCAGGAGTGCCTGCATTGTTCATTCTGGACCCTATTTTGAAATTTGAATATTTTGAACTTTGTGTGGAATTGGCCAAATTACCAATTTCTGATCACTGTATTGGGTAGTTGAAATAGTTGGTTGGGTGATTTCTTGTGCTCAGTTGATAAAATAGAAGTAATACTAGCAAAATAGCTAAGAATTTGGTCGACTTGAATAATGTAATTGGCCTAAAATGGGAGTCAGATTCGGCAAAATTGTCGATGCATGAATATCACTGATGCAGCAAGATTCATGAGAGCGTAATTTTGTCAGTTTTCCATCAAATTTTATACTTTTTGTTTTATTACCTTCAGAAAAATAATCTCTACCATTCCATAAGAAAAAATAACAAAAAAAAAATTTAGAAAATTCTTGGACCCTGGCTGTCACTCTGAGATTTGGCCTCTGAGCCCTCAAAGGGTTAAGATTTGAGCAAATATAATGTAAAATTTATGTCAAGTAGGGGTTTGGGATATTTGCTGTTTGGAGGAACATCCAAACTGTCGTATCTGTGCGCCTCTGGCAAGCCAGTGATGGTGTGAATGATGGTGAATGTATTTCTTTTTGGGTCACACTGCTTCGGTGGGAGATGGCTAGCATGTTAAAAAAAAAATTCAGATTTTATGTTGTCGGTCTGCCCTATATAAATACTAAAGCTGTAACTATAATGAAATTATATCATTATCTTGAATTCCAGATGAAAGCACCTTTGGCCCCTGTCCTGTAATATTCACATTATCAACTGGTGGAGGACTTAATATGTTCCACGTGATTAATAGGAAACCCGGTGCTGAAGCCTTAACTTGTGCCCTGAAGAACTTACCTAACAGTGGACACCGCACTCCACAGCAGTACAGAGGAGCTGCCTCTTATATTACTCCTGCAGATGGTGCATTTATTAATATCCCAAAGTTCACAATTAGTACACCATCTGGCATACAAGGACTACCTGTTAGTACACCTGCAACAACTACAGAATTTACCACACCTACTGGGAGTACTTTTCCAGTTACATCAAGTGCATCAAGTTTATTTAACAGGTTGGCAAATTTTAAGTGTGTGAAACTTCCAAATTGAATTGTTTTTTCATTATTAGTGCTTAGAATTATAAAAGAAATTTACTTTTTTTAAATCCTGTCAGTTTTTGGTTAACTGGTGCACTCGGAAACTTTCTTCTTATTTAATTAAATACTGCTGCTTGGTTTTTAAAGTTTTCTTGGAGGTCAGTGGTCACATGTGGTCATACCTGTCCTAAGCTCTCTGGGAGTTAGCATGGGATGTTACCAAGCACCATGGCTTGTTGTAGTGTTTTAGAATCTCAGGTTAAAGTGTTGAAGGAGGAGGTTCTACTTCTTCAGGAGGAAAATAGGAGGCTGAAGCTTCACCTATATGGGTCTGAGAGTGAGTGTGAGATGGATGGAGCTGGTGAAGAGGAAATGGTCACTAGCTGTGAGAGTGGCAGCTGCTTTAAGTGGCAAGTGGTTCACAGCTCAGGAAGAAGGAAGATAAGGAGGGTTAATGGAGAAGATGAGAAGGTAGGAAATCGAGTCTCTGTTCTCCAGGACGAGTGTACCGCAGTGGTTAGGGAGGTTAAAGGTATCACTGACTCCCCTGCTAATCAGGGTAAGAATATTCTAATTGTAGGAGATTCTCAGGTAAGATATATGTACCGTGCTTTTTTGTAACAGAGATAGGAAGGTCAGATAGAGGGTGTGCCTTCCAGGAGCTGGTGTTGGTGACATAGTCAGCAGGTTGGATAATATTATGTCAGGTAATGGGAACAAGCCCATTATCTGTCTTAGTGCTGGAGGTAATGACATTGGGAAGGGCAGGAGAGAGGAGCTACTGGTTAAGTACAAGTGGGCAATGATTGTATGTCTAGGGCAATTGGTATAAATTGCTGGCTAGACAGGTGCTGCAAGGAACTTGCAATCCCATTCATTGATAATTGAGACAAATTCTATGGCAAACATGATATGTATGCAAGGGCTGGGGGTTCATCTCTCTGGGGCTGGAGTGGTTGCATTAGCCAATTCAACTGAGGGGGTAATTGATGACTTGTCTAGGACTTTAAACTGATAGATTATAGAGGTATGGGTGTTTGTGTGAAACAACCAGGCTGCAGTATTAGGGTTGAAAACAGTAGATATTACCAGGATACCTCAGGGATATGTTTAACCCTTTCAGGGTCCGTCCCGTAGATCTACGGCTTTACGTTCAGGGTCCAAACCGTAGATCTACGTCATGAGCTCAGCTCACTCTGATAAACTGTGAGTGGTACACTTCACTTGGGCCTAGATATGAGAGAATACATCTATGTGGTATGTGTGCACCACATAAAACAAATCCTGCAGCACACTGTGTATAATGAGAGAAAAAAAACTGAAACCAAGATTTTCGATTAAAACAGCAACTTTGCAGTGTTTTTTCGTATGTTTTTTATAGTTGTATTTGCAATTTCTTGGTCTCATTTGATAGAATGGAAGACATATTACAGAAATAGAGATGATTTTGATTGGTTTTAGCACTGGAAATGGCTTGAAACTGAGCTCAAAGTAGCGGAAATGTTAAATTTTTGCCGATGTTCAAGAGTAAACAAACGACCTCACACATCTAATACACGCCAGCTGGTGGGTCTAATATACATTCACAAATATGGTGATGATATTTATACAATTATTACAATATTGCATAACGGTAAATCTTCTATTTTTTGGTGTGAATAAAAATTCATTATGTGAATAAAAAAACCAAAATGGAATTTATTTGTAAAGCCTCAAAACATAACTAATGAACAGAGGAAATGTTAGTTTAGTGCCAGGAATGCCTACATTGTTTATTCTGGACGCTATTTTGAAATTGGAATATTTTGAACTTTGTGTTAAATTGGCCAAATTACCAATTTCCGATCACTTTATTTTGTAGTTGAAACAGTTGACTTGGCGATTTCTTGTGCTCAGTCGATAGAAGTAATACTAGTGAAATAGCTAAGAATTTGGTCGACTGGAATGATGTAATTGGCCTAAAATGGGAGTCAAAGTCAGCAAAATCGCCGATTCGTAAATATCGCTGACACATCAAAATTCGCAAGAGCATAATTTCGTCAATTTTATATCAAATTTCGTAGTTTTTGTTTTATTACCTTCACAAAAATATTCTCTACCATTTCATAAGAAAAAATAACAAATTTTTTTTTGGAAATTTCTTGGACACTGGGGCACCACTTCAGATTTTGGCCTTGGACCCTGAAGGGGTTAAAAGACAATATTGAAAATAAAGTTGCTAGCAAAGCAATTGATCAACAAACAGAGAGATAGTAGAAGGCAACGAGTGACTAGCTCCCTTAACCTTTTGATTGTCGCAAGCCCCTTTCTGAAACTGTCATTCTATGTCGCAAAATTTTTGGAAAAAAAAATTATTTTTTCTTATGAAATGATAGAGAATCTTTTCCTGATTGTAATGACACCAAAAGTACGTAATTTGGTCGAAAACTCACGGAATTACACTCCTGCGAAGTAGCGGTCTCGGCAATATATACGCATCGGTGATTTCGCCGAATTTGAGCCCTGTTTTTGGCCAATTTTGTTGTTCCAGTTGACCAAGCTCATAGCTATTTCTTTATAACTCCATTTTCTCTATCAGTTGAGTACAAGAAACTGCCATTTACCGATTTGAATTACCCAATAAAATGGCCAGAAATTGGCAATTTGGCCAATTTCACGCAAATTAAAAAAATGCCAATTTTTAAAATAGGGTCCAGAATAAACACTGTAGACATTCTTGGCACTAAAATAACATATCCTCTGTTCATTAGTCATGTCTCTAGGCCTCTCTTATATTACTGTTGCTTTCTATTTTGATTTTTATTCATACAAAAAATACAAAATTTACTGTTATGCAGACTACTGCATTATTGTAAAAATGGTATAAATAATATCAGTGCACTAGTGAAAGAATATTAGACTCCGCAGTTGATGTGTATTGGACGTGTGGTGTGATTTGCTTACTACTGAACATTGGTAAAAATTGAACATTTCTGCTACTTTGAGCTTAATTTCCAGGTCGTGAAACTAGCCAAAATCATCTCTATTTCTGTAATATGTTTTCCATTTTATCATGTGAGACCACGAAAACGAGAATACAACGATAAATACTATACGAAAATACACCTCAAAGTCGGCATTTTAATCCAAAAAAACGGTCATTTTTTTTTTCACATTATGCACTGCATGCTGCAGGATTTTTTTATTATGTGGTGCACACTGACCACACAGACCCATTCTCTCACATGTGGGCCTACCAGCTTTCTCCTGCTTGATTTGAAGCCGCTAGAATTTATGCGTATTAATACATCTGAAACACTGGCTCGTAAGATGTATATATACGACCAAAACAGTCAAAGGGTTAAGGTTTACTAAACAAATAGTAGGTGTCTAAGAAATAAGGTAGGTGAGCTAAGATTACTTGCACATGCAGGTAATGTAGATATTATTGCTATAACAAAGACATGGTTCAACCTGAAAGATAGAGAAATGCCTTTTGAATGCAACATACAGGGTTATAAACTATTTCACACTGATAGGGTCAACAGGAAGGGTGGTGGATGGCAATGTATGTCAGAAAATTTAAATTGTTGTCTTAGACATGATATAAGATCAGAAATGTCAGACATAATCTGTTTGGCTACAATTTCTTGAGGGTCATGACAAATCAATTTTGGGTGTGATTTATAGGCCCCCAAACCTTGATAGGGAGTGCAGTAAGCTGTTATGGGATGAAATTCATAAGGCATCTAGATATGAAAGTGTTGTATTAATGGGAGATTTTAACTTTAGACAAATTGATTGGAACTGTGTGACAGGAAATCTTGAATCTAGTGACTTTCTTGATACAGTTCAGGATTGCTTTTTAAAATAGTTTCTGACAGAACCAACTAGAGAAAACAATCTACTTGACTTGGTTCTTGCCAACAAAGAATCACTAATTAATAATCTTGAGGTTAATGATGAGCTTGGGGAAAGCGATCACAAATCATTTAGTTTCAATATATCATGGAATTACCCAGGTAACTGCAATCAAATCTCTGTCCCAGACTTTTGCTTGGCCAATTTCATGGGACTGAAAAATTACCTGGGTGGGCTAAATTGGGATGTCCTGACTATGGGTAAGGTAGGTGGTCTTGGTTGCCAATATGACTTTTTCACAGCATAGTTCTAGCTGCCCAGACAACTTTTGTTCCAAGTAGGGAAATTAGATCTAATAAAAACAATCCCAAATGGATGAACAATAGATTAAAACATCTCATTGGTCAAAAGAGAGGCATATATAGGCATATCAAAAGAGGGAATGGGCAGTTAAGAAATCAGTATATTCAATTAAAGAGAGAAATAAAAAAAAGGAATAAGAAAAACAAAAAGGGATTATGAGGCTAAGGTCACAAGGGATTCTAAGGCTAACCCAAAAGGGATCTTTCAGGTATACAGAAGTAAGATTAGGGACAAGATAGGCCCACTTAAGAGTAACTCTGGTCAGATCACAGACAGTGATAAGGATATGTGTGAAATTTTCAATACTTACTTCCTCTCAGATTTTACCCAGGAAAATACTAGCAAAATTCCAGAAATAATAAATTATGTAGAACAGGACGATAATAAACTATGCACGATTGCAGTAACTAGTGATATGGTTCTCAGACAAATAGAGAAATTAAATCTTAACAAATCCCCAGGCCCTGATGAAGTGTTTGCAAGGGTGTTAAAGGAATGTAAAGAGGAACTTAGCATAACTTTGGCTAATCTTTTCAACATATCACTACAAACTAGCATAATGCCTGATAAATGGAAAATGTCACCTGCCTATTTACAAGGCAGGTGACAGATCCTTAGCTTCGAACTATAGATCAATAAGCCTTAACCTCTATAGTGGGAAAATTTATGGTATCAATAATTGCCGAAGCAATTCGTAGCCATCTCGAAAGGCATAAATTGATTAATGAATCTCGGCACGGTTTTACAAAGGGGCGTTCCTGTCTTACGAATTT